CCCCAAAACCCCAAAACCCCAAAACCCCAAAACCCCAAAACCCCTGCAATTGGGTTTAAAATTGATTGTAGAAAAGACTCTATATGAGAAGACTAAGTTAAGCATTAAACCACAAGACGTTAAGGCAATAGTATTAAGACTGCTGTAATTATAGGGATAATAAACAGCATCCTAGCATGTTTGTTTGTGAAAGTCAGTAGTATTTATCTGCCCTCGCTTCTATGATGCGAGCTTACTTCATTGCTAGTATCAGCTGGCGATCAAGCTCGTCTTCGTGCTTCACATGTATCGCTTTTCTAATCAATATCTGCATAAGCTCTTGGTTTGGGGTGAAAAAGTGTTGGGGCAAGATATCATTTTCAAAATTTGAGTTCATGATAGGAGGTGGCTTGTTAAAAAATTTAAAAGAAGGCAAGCTAGGGCTATTCGGAGGTTTCGAATTTGTCACCACTTTCTGCTTTCCACCTTTAGAATTCTGAGATTTACCCTTCTGTCCAGATTTAGTTGGAGACCTTGAGAAATAGTTTTCACCTATAATTCCAGGCTCAGCATTCGAAAGTAGCATGGTCTCCAAAGCATTATATTTATCAAAGGCTTCCTTAAGTTGTGCATCCATTGTAAATTCTTTATCTATAAATGATCAGGACAAAATTACTATGCTTGAGGAGATAATTATTTGCGCCAAGTATAATATTTATAGTTGAACTTATTTAAAGCAAAGTCAAGATAAAAATCTATGACTTTATTGCGAACACTTTCACTAATCTGAACCATAAGTTTATTCATTGTCTTGAGGCTTCTCTTCTTTGATTCTTTGCAAATTCCCATCATAATTGCTTTTTCTTGCTTCCATCTTTTGAGCATCCATTCTTTACGAATTCGCTTGTTTTCCCATGAACCAGTCATTGTTGTTTTAATATGAAGCAACTGCCTGTAGCACAAAAGCATTTTGTTTTTAAGAGTGTATCATTTTGTCGTATCCTCCAAAAAGTTGATAACAACTGGCTTCATCCTTCACTGGACGGTGTCTTTCATACTAGGAATTGTAAATGAAAGAGCTAGACGGATGTGCTGGTTATTTCTTTCCTCAAGCATTCTCCCCTTCTTCTTTTGCCGAGACTTAAATTGGTTCCAGATGCGTCTCAGGCACCAATCTGTACGTAAATTTCTGATCTCCCTCTCACGGTGAATGTTGTATTTATCAGCAATGTTCTTGGTAATGAATTGAAGGTAGGCAAAGCGCATCCATGCGCCAACAAAGAGTTTCCTCTTTTCGATTTTATTTAATCTCGATATTCCGAATTTCATTGACCTTTTTGACAATTTCCCATCTTTTGATGTATCTTTTAGCCTTCGTCAGTTTCTTCCTAAAAATGAATTTCTTATTTCTTGTTGTTTCGCTTTATTCTAAATCTTGTGTTACTCTGGAGAGAAAGTCTCCTTTTGGAACATTCGTGGTTCCAATGACTTGCTATTTGAATATTCCTTTTAACAATATTCTCATTTTTCACTGTTAAGCATTCTTTTGAGTCAGAATTAGACTTGCCTCGGATTTCTAGATATTTCTCATAATCCAAATCAGCCTTAGATTTTACTTCCTGGGGAGAAGAAGGTAAGCGAAGGTTTGGTTTAGATTTATGAGCTTGCTTAGAATCTTGCTCCAGTTCAGGCACTTCTGTACTTCTATCAGCATTTAGAACCAGACGTGAAAGCTTGCTACGCATCGCTTTCAGCTCTTTTACTGTATTAGATAGCATTGAAGAGCAGTCACCGTCAACCTTCTGCCTCTCGATCTCTCTATCTAGAATTCTCTGAGATTTATTTCAAGTTTTCTGTAACTTTCTCATTTCTTTGAATAGTCATTAACGAAAGAGTGCTCGTGCTGACTGCTTTCAGCCTAGATTCATCATATTGGCCCATAGAAGCGTTTCTTGTCTGCATCCTAAAAATGGTTAATTGACTTACATAAACAATCTGTTCTGAAGAATGTAAGGCCTTTGTTGCAGAGTAGAAGTTATCGGTCTCGGTTTCATAAATTTAGACCGATGCTTCACATTTATTATCCCTCGTGGAGGTTTTTTAGAAAGAGAGTTCATGGAACTACTCTTCCTACTGCGCTTAACTAAACTTGTTGAAGGCCTATTCTGCCTCAAGTTAGAAGTACTCCTCATTTTATTTCTTAAATAAGGTTTAAACTAATATTATTATTCAATATTTTAATATAAATAAGGGGTTTTGGGGTTTTGGGGTTTTGGGGTTTTGGGG